TGACATTGAACTATTGAAGCTATTGAAAAATATATGCTTACGTGCTCCGATGTAAAATAAGTTTTTACTCAGAGCAAGACCAGTGCTCTATTAAGTGTGATGATTCATTTTAACTTATGAACATTTTATTTATTCTTGAGTCTTCAACTTGATCTTATTCTTCTCTTTCACCACAAATGTAGTTTGGTTAAGAGAGTGTTTGCTTTACCTTGATTCCTCCTCTCTTCCAAGAAATAGGTAAAATTTGAATCTTCTCTCTTTTATATTAGAATGTTCATATTTTAAACTTGTTTTGTGAAATTATATGTAGTGTTCTTGATTTTTTAGAAAACTAGTCCCACTTTTTTTTACTCCAGTCCTCTGTTAAAGTGTGATAACTGTCATTTTGACTTATGAATGTTTCTCTCTTCTTCTCTTGAGTCTCAAACTTTCTTTCATTTAGTAAGTTTTTAAGTTATTTCTTCTATTTGATCTTTATCCTCTTCATCCAATAGAAAAATACTTTGAATATTATCTTGTTCATGTAAGAGTGTATTTTTGATGTTGATTCTTATTTTCCAAGATAAAGGTAGTTTAAATATTTTCTTGTTTTTATAATGAAAATATGTTACAACCATAACAATAATCATTTTCTTTTATTTTGAAATTATCCAGCTAACTAATTGGTTCAGTGATGATATTGATGATAATATGCTTCTATATATAGTGTTTATACTGAATTTTTTAAATTGTTTCATCTAAATCTAGAATGTATAAATGAGTTTAATTTTTGGCATACATTGATATAATAATTTATGCATGACTATATATATATATATATATCTCAAATTTTGCTAATGTGTGTGATTGAATACATTGTAGACATGGAAGATCATGTGTGTTTGGTAGAGAATGTGTTTTAACAAACATCACAGATTGGAGTGACTGTGAAAGGAATTGAGAAGATTAACTATACAAAAGAGATCAAGGGTACATCAAATGGATCGTACTTTATGAAGGGTCCTCACAATGAAATGATAGGTGTATTTAAGCCCATCAAAGAAGAAGCATCTAGTTCTGGAAAGAAGAAAGGCTATAAAGCGGACCGGGAAGTTGCGGTGTTCGTTTTAGATCATCCAACATTAGAAGGGGAATAAGGATTTGGACGTGTGCCTCCTACAAGCTTTGTGCGTGCCAAATAATTCGATGGAAGCATAACAACAGAGTGGGAAAGAGGTTCACTTCAGGAGCTCATCCCAAATCAACCGTGGAACCGCTTTAAACCGGCAGTGTTTTTTATCGAAGATGTTCAAATATTGAGTTTGATTGACATCCGTTTTGGGAATAATGATAGGCATTGTGGAAATATCTTGTTTAATTCAAACATCAGTGGAGGAAGGTTAATCCCAATTGATCATGGAGAATGCTTTCCTATGGAGGTATGAAGTATTTATAATTTCATGTTTTCATTTTATTATCATCTCAATCTAATACTTTAGAGGAAACTATTTTATTTTGGTTTGTGATATATTATTGATGGTAAGAAGTATATTGTGGTTTCCATTTTGGTTTTGTTAGTGGAATAATTACAAGTTTATTTGGACAACTTGGAGTCAAGAAGACACAATGTATTCATGCTATATGGTTGACTATGTGAGGAATCTAGATGTGGAAAATGATCTCCATATCTTGAAGGAAAATGGGATAGAACTTGGAGAGAGATCTATGTTTGCTTACAAATTTGAAAACAAAGTTTTTAAAGTAGGTGTGCTTGGTGGATATACTCCAAGAGAGATTGAAAGTTTTATGCTAAAAGTGTATAGCAGCAAAGAAAGAACTATTATTAATGTTGTGGATAGCTGCATGCCTTATAAGCCAGAAGTTGAGACTGATGAAGAGAATCATATACTAGAGTTAATTAGTGAGAGCACAAAGACCATTTTAATTATAAAAGATATACTAGCGACAATGATAAACCATTAACAACATAATATTGTCGAGATCATCTATTCTGACACAATCGTAGTGACAACACATTAGTATTGTCGTTATACTAATCTACGTTGAATATTATTAATATCTAAGAATCAACAAAATTTAAGTACACAAAATCTAAAAGCATACTTGAAGAAAAACGAGGAATTGATCACTAGAAAGTTATCAGCCTTTTTAATTATAAAAGATATACTAGCGACAATGATAGACTATTAACAACATAAAACTATAGATATCATCTATTTTGACACAATGATAGCATGTTTCGACAACACATTAATTTTATCGTTATATTAAATTATGATGAATATTACTGGTATCTAAAAAGCAACAATATAAAACACATAAAGTCTAAAACATACTTAAAATAAATGACAAAAATAGTCATTAAAAAGTTATTCACAATTTTAATTATAAAAGATATACTAGCAACAACTATAAACCGTTAACAATATAAAATTGTCGAGATCATCTATTTTGACACAATATAGTGTGTTTTGACAACACGCGTTGTTATATTAAATTGTGTTAAATATTACTAGTAACTAAGAATAAACAACATAAAGCACATAGATTCTGAAACATACTTAAAACAAACGACAAAAATAATCATTAGAAAGTTATCAACAATTTTATTATAAAAGACATACTAGCGACAACGATAAACCGTTAACAACATAAAATTGTCGAGATCGTCTATTTTAACACAATGTAGCATGTTTTGACAATACATTAGATTTGTCGTTATATTAAATTATGTTGAATATTACTAGTATCTAAGAATCAACAGCATAAAGCAAACAAAATCTGAAACATACTAAAAAAAAGGAAAAAAATAATCAATAGGAAGTTACCGATAATTTTAATTATAAAAGACACACTAGCGACAACAATAAATCATTAACAACATAAAATTGTCGAGATCAACTATTTTGACAAAGTGTAGCATGTTTTGACAATTTTCGTTATGTTAAATAATGTTGATTATTACTAGTATCTAAGAATCAACAACATAAAACACATAAAATCTGAAACATACTTAAAACAAACGACAAAAAATAATCATAAGAAATTTATCGACAATTTAAATTATAAAAGACATACTAGCGACAACGATAAACCGTTAACAACATAAAATTAACTAGATCATCTATTTTAACACAATGTAGCGTGTTTCAACAATTTGTCGTTATATTAAGTTATGTTGAATAGTACTAGCATCTAAGAATCAGCAACATAAAACACATAAAATCTAAAACATTCTTAAGACAAATGAAAAAAATAATCATTAGAAAGTTACCGACAATTTTAATTATAAAAGACATACTAACGACAAAGATAAACCGTTTACAACATGAAAGTGTCGAGATCATCTATTTATATATAATGTAGCGTGTTTTGACAACATGTTAGTTTTGTCGTTATATTAAATTATATTGAATATTAATAGTATCTAATAATCAATAACATAAAGAAAATCTGAAACGTATACTTAAAATAAACGACAAAATAATCATTAGAAATTTATCGACCATTTTAATTAAAAAAGACATACTAGCGACAACGATAAACCGTTAACAACATAAAATTGTTGAGAGTATATATTCCGACACAATAGTAAACTGCTAACAAGATAGTTTTTGATACTTTGCAAACAATACATTAATTTTATCGTTACCAAAGTAGGATGAATATTTCTAATATCTAAAAGTTTGAAAATATACACATAATCTGAGAAAAACCTACTTCAAAATGAAAGACAAAATAAGTGTTATATGGTTATGGACCACTTTATTTATAGGAGACAACATAATTAAAATGTTAAATTTTAACATCATAAATCTTCAAAATCATCAATTTCTACATATCGGTAATTTATTAATAAATCATTTATTACTATATTTCACTTAACACGCCAATTTCGCAACATAAACATTGCAAAAACCTAAACATCAAAAATCTTAACACATGTAGAAATTAAAATCATAGTTAAAAGTAAATAACAAAATAACGATTATGCTTAAGTTATTAAGTTCCTTCAAACTAAATAATAAACCATTAACAACACACATTGTTTGAAAATCATCAATTTTGACACTGAACTATTGAAGCTAATTGTAAATTTTTTCTTGATATTTTTTAAAAAATAAAAATATAAAAAATATAAGTAAAACATAAAACTAATATTATATCTATAGCTGAAATATATTCATACTACATTAAAATGTTTACCAGAATCGATCAAATAACACATTAATTTAGCATTAGACTAAAAATCTAGAATATTACTAATATCTAAGAAAATCAACAAACAGAAACACACATATAAAACTGAAATGACATAGTTCAAGAGAAAAAAAATAGCTACTATATTAAATTTATGTTTAATTTTAGTTTCAAAAGATTCTTCAACAACAAGTGTAAACCATAAACAATATAAAATAATCGAAAATAGCAATTAAAGATGACATTGGATTTTTACACTTGAAAACAGTTAGGTTGCGTAACTCATATATCAAAATCTTCACGAGAAGGAATCCAAAAACTAGCCTGTAGAAGGAGGGGATAAAAGTAACGGTTGTGAAAAACATAAGCCACCTGTTTTCAAACAAAAACGCTTACCTGATTTTATTCCATCTGTAAGCTTTCATGAAAATACGTGATTTTCCTTCTTTTTTTTTTCTTTAATAGAAACGAATGAGTTTGAGAGGTTCGAGCGTTATGAAATAAAAGTTGCTGTTTAGGCAATTTAATAATAATTGTCTGAAAAGGAAGACAAGCGTGAGTAAGAAAAGAGTACTATTTGAGTTAAAGCGGCAACGCGCCGCTTCATACGACGAGCTCATGATAGCGAATGAAAGTTCAACACTTGTCGTTTCCTAAAGTGCGTGTTAGACAGTCTCTGTGAGAGAGAGTGTGGCTTAAAAATTAATAAAGTACTGATAAAAATTAAATAAAGCGAACCAAAAAATTAAATAAATAGCGAACGACGACTGGCTCGGCTTCTTCATTCTTCATCTTCCTCTCCTTCCTTAAGCTCCTTTTCTCTCAATCTTAATTAGGTTTCTGATTTTGATCGGAGCGAAGAAACGTTTAAAGCTTTGAGATTTAATGAGCTAAGGTTCTTAGTTTCTGTAATTAGATGCTTGTCACTATCTTCTTCACCCTTTGATCCTTTTACTAATCTCGTGCAAAAGATGCGTCTTTCATGTGTTTCCGACTGTTTTATTGGGCTTAGAAAGTTCTAGGTAAACCCTAATTTCTTCCTCAACTTTACTCGAATCTTCGGATCTGTGTTCTTTCACTTTTCTCTGTCAAAGGGTCTAATGCTAAATTCGCATCTAATGCTAAAGACTTAAACCATTGTTGTGTGGGCTTGGTTTCTTCGTTTCATTAGCTCCTTTTGTCTCAGGGAGTGCATGGTTTAGAGCTCAAGGTTCTTGCTTTCATTTCATTAGTGAGATTTCTTTCCTTTTAAGCAAAACAAAAAGAAGTAAGTTTTCTTTGTTGATTCCTGTAGTTAAAACACAAAACCAGCTTGATGATTAGTTTAAAGAACATTACATAAAACCAATTTTGGCATCTCTTTTGTTGAAGTGATTTCTTTGTGTCATCTTTTAATCTAAAAGTTTTTTTTATGTGTGTGTGTCCTTGCAGTTTGGTGTGAGAATAACCAAGGTTGGAAAGATGCCTGACGGAGCCAGTTTCAACGTGCTGAATTACAACAACGACAACAACTACTATGCTTTCACGCAAGACTTCTATAAAAAGCTTAATGAAGGTACCAACATGTCCACGGAGAGTATGCAGACGAGTAACGCTGGAGGTTCTGTGTCAATGTCTGACAACAGCAGCGTTGGCTCCAGTGACGCTCTTATTGGCCACCCTGGGTTGAAGCCACTGCGCAATAATGCCTACTCACCTTCTGTTGGGCAAAGCGCGTTCCGTCCGGGGAGAGGTATACATGCGTCGAAAGATGATCGCTTGCCTCTGGCACTGATGGACAGCAGGTATCCAACCGAAGGGTTGGCTAACTATGAAGAGTGGACGATCAATCTGAGGAATCTCCACATGGGTCCTCCCTTTGCTCAAGGGGCTTTCGGTAAGTTATACAAAGGGAGTTACAATGGGGTGGATGTAGCCATCAAGATACTTGAGCGGCCAGGGAACAACCTGGAAAAGGCACAGTTCATGGAGCAGCAGTTTCAGCAAGAGGTGACTATGCTTGCGAATCTGAAGCATCCAAACATCGTGAGGTTCATTGGTGCATGTCGCAAGCCAATGGTGTGGTGTATAGTGACTGAGTACGCTAAAGGAGGTTCTGTGAGGCAGTTTCTGACAAAAAGACAGAAGAGAGCAGTGCCGTTGAAGCTAGCTGTGAAACAGGCCTTGGATGTCGCCAGGGGTATGGCTTATGTCCATGGACGCAACTTCATACACAGAGATCTCAAGTCAGATAACCTTCTCATATCTGCTGACAAGTCAATCAAGATTGCTGATTTTGGTGTTGCAAGAATCGAAGTTCATGCCGAAGGGATGACACCAGAAACCGGAACTTACAGATGGATGGCTCCGTAAGTTCTATAATTCTTGTCTGACTCTATGCAACTTACACTAATGTGATTTTTATGTTGATGGATGCAGGGAGATGATACAGCATAGAGCCTACAACCAAAAAGTGGATGTGTATAGCTTCGGGATCGTGCTGTGGGAGTTAATCACGGGACAGTTACCGTTCCAGGGCATGACAGCAGTACAGGCTGCGTTTGCGGTTGTGAACCGAGGAGTGCGTCCAACAATCCCAAACGATTGTCTCCCCGTGCTGACTGAGATAATGACTCGATGCTGGGATGGTAACGCGGAAGTGCGTCCAAGTTTCGTGGAGGTTGTGAGTATGCTTGAAGCTGCAGAAACTGAGATAATGACGACAGCTAGAAAAGCCCGTTTCAGATGTTGCATGAGTCAGCCTATGACGATTGACTAAAATGAAAAGAGTAAGAAGAAGAAAAATATATAAGAAAAAAAAAAGTGATTTTAGATAACTAAGTTAAGTGTCTGTGTGTGCGTTGTGTATTTATAAGAAAAGAAAAAAATGAAAGTATGTTGTGGTCTCATGATAAGAGAAGGTCTAGTTTTGTGTGTTTTTATGTTCAGTTAATTAAGAAGAAAAGAAAAAGCAGAAATTACCGTGTCCAAACAAATGTATGCTTATTAGTTTCTTCGTTCTTAACTTGGAATCAAAAGTCTGATACGATTCCATAAAAGCTGTACAACGACGTCGTTAAGCAGATGGTTTTAGGCTACCTTTGTGTATTACCCTACCATAATGTTTCTGTTGGTTTAACTTTCAGTGACTACCTGTGGTGCCCCTCCGGACGTTATCATGTGTGACTCCGAAACCTGGAACAGTTGGGGAAACAGATAAGTTTGTGTTGGAATATGGATCAAGACACAGAAGAACTGAAGTGGACCTTGATTGGTCTTGAATAGAACATTGTGCCGCTAAGAGCTATTGCTTTGTTAACTGACTCCTTCGAAGCAAAAGTCACAAAAGCAGCCCTGGAGAAGGGATGATTTCATATACAATGAGGACGATTTATAGTTAAACTCTTACAATGAACAAGGAGATTACTAGAAAGAGTTTTTACCCCATTGGATGTCGAGTTACTGGATCAGTTACAAAGGTAATGTTTTTGACAGCTCCACACTTGCTGAACAACATTGATATAGCTTCCTTACTTGCCGCATAGTGTACCTGTTAAGTTAGTTTCATGAAGAAGATATTTCCATGAGTTCCAGATATTTTTTTAGTAAAGTATTCAAAACGATACAACATCAGATCATCATGCGTTTAAGAGGATTGAGTAATGTATCAATCTAAGAATCATGTGAACAGAGGGAGGGACTAGGGTAAGGAGTCTAACATCATCCAAGGAAAGAAAGTTTAAGGGAAATATGATTACGTTGGTAACATGTATGATGCTTGATTCTGTGACACCGTGTTGTTTCTGCAACTCGACTGCACAAAAGAACTTATCAACTGAAAACGAGGCAGTATATTAATCAGGAATGTAGAAGCGGCAGTGACTTATTCAGATGATTACATAAGTTTAAGCCATAGGTGCTTCTCAAATTGAGTTCAAACATTCAGTTACATGAATTTGGAAACGGAAAGCAGTAAACTCAAGGCTTCAACGAACAAAACATTTCAGGTCATGGAAACTTTGGAATAGTAATAATATTCTAAAAATGGAAGAGAAATATTGGCTACTCCAGAACGTAGAGTTTACATACCAGATTGTGGTGAGCCTCTGAATTCTCCAACTTTCTGTTTCTTAAACTGCTTTGCTTGATTAATCTGCCTCTCTAGTTGTTGCAGCTTTTGTTTCATGTTCACTATTTCCTGATAAAAGAAAAGACATCATCGTTTGAGATGGGAGTAATCTCAAGATTCACATAGCAATAAAGCATAATTATCACACGTACTGAAAAAAGATTTGGCCTTTTGGACTGATAGGAGAGCAGGCTTGGCTTTTCAACATCCTGTTTAGCTTGCTTACGCTGATGAGCACTGCTAAGATCACCAACTGAAGCATCTACGCAATTGGGGTTGATGATGCCATATCGCCTCTTTCTGCTGAGGTTATGCGCGATATGAGGTTCAGTGTATGTAATAGTTCCACTCTTGGGTTTCCTAGCTTCAAGGGGTGGGAAAACTCTGTGCCTGTAAGTGACCGCAGGAGCTTCTCTCTGAAACCTCTCGCTATGTTGTTCAATATATGCTGCAGGAAATGCGCGTCCATGCTGCTCAAAAGCTCTGTGTTCATTTGCCTGAATCCTAAACTTAGGCAATATAGGATACTCTTTGTCGCCTGGTCGCCCCAAACGATCCCAAACACTACCATGAAGATTCATTTCCTGGCTCGAAGTTGCATCATGAGATCTTGCAGACACAGCTCCTCCTGAGATGTTGTTTTAATGTGAGTGAATATATCGCTCGTCATATTATTAAGAGATCATAAGAAGTCAAGAACGGAGATAGTACCTGAAGGGACAGATGGAAAATACGATTGCCTCATTTCTCTTTCTGGAAAGTATACACGCTTCTGTATTCCGCTCCTTTCATCCATAGACTGCTGTGCAAATGAGCAGGGGTCAAGTTACAGATCGGCATTGCATAAACATTTGAAAAACCAGCTCGGAATAAGAAATCAACCTCTCTATATCCATCAGGATTCATACGACATGGTTGCTTAGCGGCGGAAACGATAACGGAGCGCAGTACTTTTCTAGAGTAATTAACATCAGACAAGTTCCAATCCTCTCTCCGTTTAGGTTCTGTCCTTTTACAAGGGCTATTAATGAGCTCTTGTCGTAACATCTTCATGCTTCTAGCTTTTGGTGACACATGAACCTCAACGTCTTCTCGAGCAGTAGTTGGTACCTGCAAAGCCATTTACTATGAGACTATACCCCAAGAAACTGGTTCACCACTCACATATATGAAAATATCTTTGACTTACGTTCCTCCGATAAGTAGGCGTAGTAGCTTTGCGAACATACTCATCATGACTTCTGGAGCTTGAACCTTGTTCGATTAGAGTATCATGAGAACCAAATTCAACACCAGTCCTAGTTTCAGAACCAGAAGTTTCTCGTTTACCTTGAGTAATGTCCTTCAAAAGATGCTCCCATAAGCTGCAAAGAAAACACACACATTGAAATCGCATCATAATGTATTCACTTGAGTACAAGAAGCTAACAAAGAAGGGATCCAGAAAGCAAACCAAGCAACAAACTCTCCAGATTGCTCCCCAAGAAAAGCCTCCAAATAGTCACGTGCCTGCCTCTGACTCTTTCCGTTACAAACAATCACCGTAATATACTCCTGAAACAAGCTGATTCATCATCAGTACACACCAAAAAATAAATAAAAAATCCCTAAATCTCAACACAAAATCAGGCTTCAAAAGACCTGCAATCTCTGCTCTCCAGCGAATCAAATGCACATTGCACAATACAACAACACCGAAACAGCTCCAAACAATGCAAATTACATATACACAGAGATTTTACAAGTCATCTTTGAAGTTATCCTAAACGAAGGAGACGACGAAGCTAAGGTGTGTACGACGTTATTAACTTCCGCGTTAACAGAGACGAGATCACGTACAAGAGCGCACAACGAAATTCGAAAATTAAAAAAAAAAACCCTAGGAATCGTGTACAAAGCTAGGTAAAAGGAGAAGGAAGATGACGAACAGAGAGGATGTCGTCGTCGGAGTGGGAGTAGTGTTCGGAGAAGAGAGGAAGCATATCGGAGATAATTTGTCTCAGTCGAGAAGCCGACTCCGATTCTCTCCGCATCGGGAATGTTAATCCTTCAGTCATTCTTCGTCTCTCGGTTTATCGCTCGTCGCCGGTGAATATGGGGGAAGAAGATTCGAAGGGAAGTAAGAGAGGGAGCTTGAGCTTATTTTTTTTTGTGAAATTGAAAAGGAAGGAGTGAGAGAAGTGTTGCCTACAATTCTGTTATACAAGAAAAAGGCCCATCTGCGCAAGGCCAGTTAAGTTTCCCTCCATCGCTCACATTCATTTGATGTGTGGTGGTGACTTAATTAGATAAAAATAAAGTATGGAAAAGTGCAGTTTTGGATTTGGTTAATTAGGTGTTAAAAAAAAAGGATTTGGTTTATCAAATTTTAATACTTGGTTGGTTAATTCTTCATTTTTATCGAATTTTGTATTTTCTGTGTGAATATTTATAGATTAATTTCTAACCAAATCAAAATATTGTAACACTATTAGCATCCAATATTTGACATTCTTATTAGCTGAATAACATAACATATCTTGGTTTTTCATTCTCAAGGACTTGAATGTGTAATACACTTGCACAAATATTTTAAACGTGTCACATTTTCTTAGTTTGAACCTTTTTTTTTTCCAAACCAAACACCAATATCGTTTTAAATCTCTATTATTAAAAGAGAAGTACCCACTAAAAAATACTCCTAAGTTTTCCAACTTATTTACACTCATATGCCACTGAGAATTTAATTAAACTTCCTATTTAAATGCTTGTCTTTTTCAGTTATATTAATTAAACATCCTATTTAAATGTTTGTCTTTTTCAGTTATATTAATGAGTTATTTAATCAACCAAAAAATACTTGCATCACTAACATGTCTTTTTCACGTATTTTAATGATAACTCATTTACTGCATCACTAACATCACTGATATATTACATGCATCTAAAATGTGTATCAATAAAACGTGCATCACTAATATAATAAAGAGAAATATAATATTAACTAACACACAATATAACATGTGCATGTATTAACTATATTGGTTTATATAATGTATTCTACGGTATAATAACGTCACTGTTAAAAAGTAATATAGAGATAACTCTAATTTCAATATCAAATCGGATTACCAATCATATACACATATTCAAACAGCTAGTGCCCACAAGATTCAAACAGCTAATCCGATTACCACCTATCCATTTTCTAATTTTTTTTTTTAAAAAACAATTGAATAAATAGAAAATCAAAACAGAAAATCTTATCTCTATTATAACAGAAAGTTTTGCAAGATCTAATCCGATTACCATATATCGATTTTCTAAAAAAAAAATAAAAAAAAAAAACAATTCAATAAATACAAAATCAAAACAGAAAATCTTATCTCTATTATAACAGAAAGTTTTGCAAGATCGTATCCTTAAATCAATATCATATCCAAGATTTTCGCATCATAAGCATATATTTAATTTCAACCTGATTGGTCTATAATTTCGGTAACTAATTTTCTTGCGGGAGAGGAAACAATAAATTCAAAATCTAATGGAATATATAGATTGAACCAAATTCCTATATTCGGGTATATTTTCGAAAGAAATAGAAAAAAAACGGTTTTAACATGGGTTTCAATAATGTGGGCTTTCAACATATTATTTTGACACAGAACAAATGATCAGAAATAATATATTATTAATATAATTATGAAATAGTTTAGA